ATCTGTAAATTTAGATGGAGGGGAGATGCCAGGGTTTTGGGAGCTGGTGTACTTTTCATCTGTTGGTTATGATGGTGGTGAAAAGGGGACAAGCCTCTGGTGTCTCTGTATGTAAATCGGAGAGAGGTGGTGACTGCAGCGCCGAACTGGCCCTCCACACACAGCTTGTGCCCAGGACTCCACCTTCCTCCATCCCATCCACTCTCCTTGTCTGTCTCCTGTTTCCACTGTAACACCCTTTTACAACTTTTGAACGTGTTTTAGGTAAAAATGATTTCCACTCAAATGTTTCATTTTTTGATGCATCAGTCCTCTGGTAGTTTTTTAAAAATACTTTTTTGAGCACACAATGCAGGAGTGTAGAGAGGATGCATGATGTTTTGTTTTTGAGTGGAAATAAATTTTGAAGTTCAGTGAACCAAGACAGTGTAACTGTTTAGAAGTTTCTTTATTTGCAAAAGCCTCATTTAAAACCATATTGTGTCTGAGTTTGTTCTAGTGTAGTATCACATTACCATGCCCTTTTTTCTGTACATAGGTTTTTCAATACTTGTAATTGAAGAGAAAGAAAGTGCTTTTTCTTTGTAATTGTAAGTCTGTGGCATTTTTGGTGCATACTCTTTTGACACCAGTATGTAAGTACATACAAATACATTTTTTTAAATAATGTCAAGTTGTATTTTGTGTGTTTCAGAAGTGTCCTGTTTGTCATGCGTCTCCATTTAAAAATGAATTTAAGCGGGTAAAAGACGCGATATGTGAACACCCCCTAAATGTGTTAAATTGTGAACTAAACATTTGTGGCCTCTTATAAACGAAACAAAGCTCACCGCTGCTGCTTTAATGCCATGAGCTACTCACTTTAACACGGCAGGTGGCAGTATGTACATTTTTCGTGCAACAGGGAAGAGGAGGAAGAAGAAGAAGGGAGGACGGAAGAAGAAGAAAAACGCTGGTGTTTCAAGATGGAGCGGGAAACCCGGGAAGAGCAAGAGATGGATGTCGACAGACAAGTTGGCGAAGAGGCGGATAGTCTCTCTCCTTCGGCTTTAAAACTGTACGAGACACAGTTTTTTGGCTTCACTCCCAAAACCTGCATTTTACGGGTCTACAGCGCCTTCACCGATTGCCTGTGCGACATTTTACCCGTCGTGGAGAAAGTTTGTGTGAGGCAGCTGAGTAAAGGCGAGTCGGCCGGGGCCGACGACCTGCTCCGGTCCAGAGCCAGGGAATGCAGTCTGAAACTGCAGGAGTTCCTCGAAATGAAATTCAAGCAGCTGTCGGAACGGATGGAAACGCTGCTGGTCGACCGCTGCCTCTCCGTGCCGCCAAATGTCCTGCTCCCGGAGGACCAGGCACACAAGGACTACCCCCAGCACATACAGGTGATGACAGCCTGCAAATGTTTACACAGTTAAAAGACAGTTGCCGTTTTTACACTCTTCACCCAGTATGGAAGGATAAACGCTCAAATTAAAGCTTAGTCCTTGATATCTCACTGTTACACACCTGTCCAAACTACTATACCTTTCCAAGCAGTTGTGTGCAAAAGTTGGCCACTGGGTGAATGACATTGTTGGCTTTTATTTCTTGACATCAAAAAATAGAAAAATATATGAACAGTAATTGTAATGTGTGCAAACTGTTGCAAAGCTGCATGCAGATGCTGTGTAGTCAGTCAAGAAATTGAAACTGGAAGGAGCCCTGCTTTGACAACTGGCCAGCAGGAGTGAACTAGTGTATCCATTGTCCGTGACTGACTGTGGTCCTACTCCATCTAGGAGGTGCTGAGGCTGGAGTCTTCGTTGGCAGACCTACACAGAACCTACGAAGCAGAGGTTTGTGCCCGACAGGCCCTGCTGGCCGAGCTGGAGGAGCAGAAGGAGGTGCAGAAGCAGCTGGACGGTATTCTGACGTGGCTCAGGGAGCTGCAGGCAGCCTGGGTAAAGGAAGGTAACGGAAACTTCCATGAAAGTTTCCAACTGGTGATGGAATCAGTAAAGAAACTGCAGGTGGCTATTGCCAAGATCAGCACCAACATGCCTCACTGAACTGAACTCAAGTTTAAGTTTTCTAACAGGTATTCCTCCAAAACTTTAGACGTTGTTTATGTTTACCATCTATCTGGTGGAGACAAATGGCTTCTGTTGAGACCTTATCCAAGTTTAAAAAAATAAAGATTTTGTCAGTGTGCAGTGATTACTGGCCACTATTTGGCATGAGAATGGTGGTATTGTCCAAACCCTGTGAAGAGATTACTAAAACACATTGTCAAACATGCATTAATGGGTTTATGAACACCATTTTAATCATGATAGACAGGTTTACAGACAGTCAAGGATGTGCACAGCACTAGATAAAACATGTTTCTATGTGTTGTTTTTCTTTATTTAGAAATAATGCAGTTTGGATATAAAATCATTCAGAGCAGTGACCAGGTCGCTGGAGCTAACTGCTAACCCTGCGCTGTGTGACAAATGGGACATTTCCTTGTTAAGAGAATGAAAATCTTCACTCTGTTTTTGCAGTTTTAGCCATGAAGTCATGTTGAAAACACTTAGAAAAATCAACTGGACTAGGTGTTTAGGTCAAAGACATTTCACCTCTCATCCAAGAGGCCTCATCAGTTCTGCCAAACTGGCGTTGAGTCGGAGATATTTATCCCAATCGGTGATGTTTCAGTCCTTTGATGCCCTTTGATTTTTGAAGTTTTTTTTTCAGTTTACTATGACCTGGATGACTGAGAATCTGCATGGACATGAGGTCATGTTGATCTCCTCATAAGCTATCAGCCATTTTGGGTCATGCCTTCATGTGCAGTTCACAGATGATCAACCATTAATAACATGAAGGTGGTAACATTTGTTTCTTTTCACCTGACTGGTTGTTGAACTGTTCATGATATTGTGTCCACCCCTCTGGAGTTGCAGTTGTATGATACCGTGATTCCCAGCAGGGGGCGCTCTCTGTATGTTAACATCAATCACCAAGTCTAATCCAGTTTTATGTCAGAGTGATAGTTTATGATCAATATCTGAATATGCTGAAACTTGGGTAACATTTTCAGGAATTACAGACTGCTGGTGTAGCAGCTGGGAGAAAAATGTGAAGTGGTAAACATGTGGTTGAATGTAGAAAAAGTACATTTTCAGTTCGGGAGGAATTAATATCCACAGCTGGCAAATGTCAAATTGTTCTCAAGTTATTTCAATAAATATTTAAATTTATTAGAACTGCATTAATTCAGGTGCACATAAAAGGCCACACATGATTTCAGATCATTTGGGGGTCTGGACAACAAACGAAACTGGACACTGGAGCTGCAATAGTTAGTCAATCCATCAACAGAAAGTTTAACTATGATGGTCAAATGGTCATTTCAGTTAATTTTTAAGCAGAAATGTATACATGAGAGTAAGCTGAATATCTGCTGGCCATGAAATTGTTCCTGGCCTTTTATAGTAGTTTAATTTTTAACTGCTAAAAGTATACAACAATAAAATGAAACGAAAAGTTGTGCATGTAAAACTGATCATATGAGCTTTGGAGCCAGTAGGGGGCAGCACCTGCATTGACTTGAGCTGACACACTGTTATGTTCATCTATTAAATGCCCCCCCCCACACACACACACAATTTTGGAAACTATATACTTCTGGTTTGTCACAGCTATGATGTATTTTACTACAAATACTAGAGGGCAGCTACAGCAAAATCACTGGGTGGTGGAATAGATGCAGAGCAACATCTCCAGACTTAATATTTTATGAGAGAATTATTGTTGATTTGTGAGCTTTTATTTATTTATATTTTTCAGCTCTAGGGTTCAGCTGGTCAGAATAATTTAAAGGAAAGAAAGTGAGTTTAATGGTGGCGAGCTGAAGGACACAGTAAAAACACCTTTATTTTAAAGCATCTAATGCTAGTGGTGGAAAGTAAGTGGATTTATTCAAAAACCACTTAACTACACTTTTGAGTTATTTATACTTCATACTGCAAGTTCACTACATATACCTTTTACTGCAGCACATGTATTTGATAACATCAGTTACTTATTACTACTTAGAAACAGATCAGTAAAAAGAAAACGGTATAATCATAAGACTGTATTGATCTCTGGTGGGATATTCACAAGCTACCTAGACGTATGTGAAATACTTTGTTATAAGGTGGTTAACATAAGCTTCCCTTTTTCCAGTTGCAACACAATAATCAACATTTTAATTCAGTCATCTATACATTACTGTGAAATGTGCCATACTGTGTAAAGACTGCTTTTCCTTTTGGTACTTCAGGTATATTTGGATGCCAATATGTTTACCTAAAACTACATCATGAAACTTTTCAAGCTTTTTTTTTGTTGTTGAAATCTGCTCCGAAACGTGTCTTAATGTGGAGCAGAGCTGTTGAAGCCTCATGTGATCCAGACTCATTGAAATAACTGGCAGCTGTGCAGCAATATTGGCTTCTAAAAGGACTGACCTCTCCAACCAATCAGAGATTTTCAGTCTTAAGTTTTGTTGCGTTCTCATTTATTGTAATTTCATAATGACAAACATCTGAAGAGCTGAGCAGAGTGTGGCGGAGCATAGTGGGTTGTAGTAGAGCATGGTGGAGCAGGGAGAGGGAGTGGTGGGTGGAGCAGAGTAGACTGATTTGGAGTTTCATACTGGCGCCACCTTAAGTCACTGTAGCTTTAAATAAAATGTTGAATTCCGAGTAACCGAGTACTTCTTCCACCACTGTTTATTGGAATTACAACTGCATAAAATCAATGATAACTGCGCAAGTGACAGTCGTAGTCCTGTGACCACACAAGAGTCGTGAGTAAAAATGATCCATAACTTAAAGTGTAGTTTAGCTTCTGCAGTTGGAGACAGAACCTGTGATGTACATAGCTGACATCAGCTACAACAACTGGAACATAAACAACAGCAACAGGTTGCGTGTAAACAGGCAACATTTGTTTTAGCATCTCAGGAATGTGTGTGTGTGTGCATGTTGATCCCATCTGCTTGTAGTGACTGACCTGAAAAATGATGACTCCAGATGGAAAGGTGTGAGAACTAGTCTTTGTTTGTGTGAGTCTTTACTTGGTCATTAGACCAGAATCTCTTCAACCAAAAGAATAATGATCTCACAGGCTGTGACTGCATTTTACTTAGAGCATTTTTAAAATGTTTTTTTCTTTAAATTTTTTGTAATAAAGATGAACCAAAAAGCGCTCAGAGAGCACAAACCTCTGCCGCGGCAGCTGATTGTCTTCATAATGCCGTTTAAAAAATGTGTGGATCAGGATGGTCAGTCACTGTTGACTTCAGTCTCCAAGAGAATACTTTTATATTCTGCTGCTTTAAATAATCTAAAAAGGTAAAAACACAGTATTTGTTCCTGCAAAAACAATGAGGCAAAGATATTATTTCTTATTTTCCTGTTGTCTTGGCAATATTTAAAAATCTAATCCAGACCCACTGGTTTGTGTTTTCAGTGATGGAGCTGGATATATGCTGACTTTTTATTTTTTTTAAATAGCAGTAGAGAAAGTGTTCATTGCTGCATTTAAGTACCTGCTTATTGCAATAAAGCTTGTAAAGTGGAATTTTAAAACTTCTAAGGGCCAAACGATGTTGTCAAACACTGTATGACAGCTGGAGGCAACTGCTGCCTGCACACATTGAATGTATGGCTAACCTCAGCGAGAACCAGGGAGAGCTAAGCAAGTGTCAGTGAGTGAAATGGTTTGTATCTGAGGTGTGGGGAATAAAGTTTTAAACCTTCACACTGCCATTCTCAACAGTTTGAGCACTAAGAACATGTCCACGTTAAGCTGCTGTGTGAAAATACTATTTACACATGAAGACAACCTGATTGTCTGTTCACACTAAATCATAACCAAATGAAAATATCGAATCTCTTCTTCTTCCTCCACTTCAGACAAATGAGTGAGCCTAAAGAAAAAAAGCGCGGGGGGCGGCGCCAAAAATTTTTTGGGGGGGGGGGGGGGGTTCAACTTCAAGTCAGATATTTTATAGTAACGAAAAAAAAATGTAATAAAAGAATTTACCTTGTTTTTTCCATTTTCTCTGAAGTAAATAGGTCATTAACAACACAATAAAGATGTCCCTACCTTATAACACCAGGTCAAGTCTTCGCCTTTTTATCTTGGTAAAAATATCCAGCACCTCATCTGGCATCACTTTTATGTCCCTGTGTTCGGACAGCAGAGTAAGTCCATTCAGGCGACTCTCAGACATTGTGCTCCGTCTTAAGTCCTTTATTCTTCCAAGTCTTGAAAAACTCCTCTCAACGTGAGCAGTTGTTACTGGAGGTGTTACCAATATCTGAATGAGTTTAAATACGTTTGGGAAGAAATGTTGATTGCAGGCATTTAATACATCAAGTGCATTTCTTGGCAAAATAGCTGCACTGCTCCATTTAGTAAACCAGGTCTCGATTTATGCCTGCAACACACACAGATGATCAGTGACATCTTCAGGGTACAGCTGTTTAAACTTCATCAAAGCTGTGTCACCTGCTTGAGCCCTAAAACAGAGCAGTGCTCTGAAATTTCCATCATTTTCTGTTGGCTCTTCAAGCTGAAGTAGGCCTGAATCCTGATGGCAATTTCTTGACGGCCACAAAATAAGATAGTTTCAATAATGCTCCTCATTCGTTCTGTTTTCTTTAACTTGTCTTCTGACTGAAATGTCATCAGCTTGCCGCTTGCAGATCGCTTCAAAATGCTCGGCTTTCACACAGTACCAATATTGGTATTTTTCCTTACCATGGTCTTTAAATGCCTCCAAGGCATGTTTCCAGTTGGCATATGGGGTGCTGACCAGCTTTCCGCTGCCAACATGACCACCCTTGCCTGTACCTTCCACTCCGAATGCCACGCAGTGCTTGCAGAAGCAGCCATCAGTCCGTGGAGAATACACCAGCCATGGGTACTGCGTTAGCCCCTGCCGCTGACGCAGCCTCGATTCATTCACAAGAAAGCACTGACCTGTGGCAGGAGTCCAGTCAACCGAATACATATTTGTTCTATCATTGACACACAGCCCAGTAGTCTTTTTTAAGGATATGTAGTCCGTTATGTCAGGTACGTTTATTCTGGTTTGCTGTTGCGAGCAGCTAGCAGCTGTCGCCGATGGCCTTTCAGACCTGCTGCCCTCCTCTCAGCTAGCATGATGGGGACCTGTTGCACTGTATTCACCTTTGTCAGACTCAGCGTCCTCATGCTTTTGTTTCTTCAAAGGGACAAAAAAGTCAAATATTTTTTTATGCTTTCGGGAGTCTAGGAACCGATCCATTTTAGCTTGCGATGCGAACTGACCTGTGACCGGTGCACGTTCCGTGTTGTTTGATATTCTGATTGGCTCATATTGATTTTAGGGTAGATCACATTAAAAAGTATAAGCAAATCTAGTAATGAGATAGGCTGAGAGGTCTGCCTGTTCAACAAGGACATGCTACTTTTGTCTGTGTAAGATTTCATAAATTTCATGCACAGTGCAATCTTTGCAATATAATGTACTAATAACAAAATATTTCGGGGGGGTTTGAACCCGAAATCCACCCCCCTGGCTACGCCCTTGACAAGGACACAAGGCCGCAG